CGCCCCGACCCGCGCGCGCAGCTTGTGCCCCGCCCCACCGCCTTCGCCCCGCCCCGACTCGGCCCTTCCCCCACCTCCGGGCGAGCGCGCTGCGGACTAGACGGAGGCCGGCTGGGCCCTACCCGCGCTGGGACTAGCTGGCTGCGAGCCCTACCGCCAGCGCGGGCAAAGGCCGGGAGGCTTTGGGGAGGAGTGGCCCTTACTCCGCGCGGGGTGGAGACAGAGCGGCGGCCTCCGCGAAGTCCGCGCAGAGGCCCGAGGCACGCGTGCCCGCTCACAGGTGTTTGGCAGCAGCGTCAGAAGTTCTGTTTCCCGGGAGAGTGCTGATTCTGAGGCTTGAGGATCACCTCCGCAACCTGAGCGCTGTCCCGGCCGAGAGCCGGAGCTCACCTGTGGCCTTTCCCTTCTGCCAGAGTTTTTGTTCTACAAGCTCCACCACCCCTACTGCACTATTCAAAATGTATAGTGCTGGTAATGCTAGCACAATCACCGGATAGTCAGTGCAAACAATATTTTTTGTATTATCCTAGTTGATTGTCAAAGAATAGGAAAGAGTTGTGTTAATCCTGAAATGTCAGAGTTAAGTCTTAAAGATTATCAGATGCAAACCTGTTTCCTAAATCTTTCAACTACATTCTAGATTTCTAACTTGCGCTTGAATACCTTCTGTCACTAGGGAAGATCGGCAACCTAATGCTGTGAACTTCGTTGTCTAATCATATTTTTAAGAAACTTTCCCATGGTTAATAGAATAAATTTTTTACACAAAAGCTCTTATCATTTTAATAACTTTGTTTTACTGTATAGAAATGACAAGTAATGTAATAAAATCAAATAAAAACTTGTATATATGCAAGCAAAAAGAAAAAGACCACATATATTAATATATTCATGTATGTATAATATTTTAAATTAAAACAACTACAGAATACAGAATATATGCTTTCTTTAGTTACTATATTGTGAACCTCCTTTATTGTCATCAAATATACTGTTAACATTGCAACAGCAAGCAGAAACACCCAAATGAAACCCAGGATTTGGAGACAGATTTATTTACATCAACAAGCACTAACCAGGATCATCCCCAAAGCATCAGGCCCTGATCTCAGGTGATCTAGGGCTTATATGGGACAAGCAAGCAGAAAGTAGAGGCAGAATGACTTGTCAGTCGGGGATTGGTTCTTACAATACGCATCACATTGACCAGCTGTTTCTAAGAAACAGAAGTAACATTAACTGTAACTGGCACTACTACCTGGGCAACTGACAAACTGAAGTGTACTGGCTGAGGGGGTCTCTTCTGCTACCACGTAATTTCAGTGACTGTATAATACTGGATAGTTTACGGAGCCAAATCCACTCATAATAATTATTTGGGTTATTTTTAATTATTATATACTATAAACGAAGCTTCAGTGAATACTGTTTTATCTACAACTTTTTATACATCCTTATTTACTTAAGAGATACTACCTATTATCATCCTCTCTACAGTTTACCATATTTTTAGATATTTCACAATTCACTACAAAACATTATTTAAAAAGGAAATGCAGTGATTTTATGATTGAGAAAAGTGACATACTCTCATAACCATGTTATCAAAGTGAAAATCACCAATAAGGGACAAATCCATTTTGCACATCTACCTATGTAAAACAACAGAAGATCACAGTACATTTTTTTGGTATTCTGGCCTAAAATGTATAGTTGATTCTAATCTGACATGAGGAAACATCAGACAACCCCAAAACTGAAGAGAGTCTGTAATATAGTTGACTTGTACTCTTTAAAATGCATTGTTCAAATTTGAGAAATTGTTCCACACCCAAGAAGATCAAAGAGACACTACTATCTGCCAAAATGTGATTATAGGTTGAAATTCGAACCAGAAGAAAAACATTTCTGCTAGGAAAAAAATTA